AATGTGGATATAAGATAAAAGCCTCCGTTGCTGCTGCTTTCTGCTGAGCTCTCCCTGCTCTGAGGATCCATCCACCAGGCTGAAGAAGTTGGGAACCCCCCCCCACACACTTCCCCCACACACATTCTGACAGGAATGGGGCTGGGTGCTGTGCCAGCTTGGACAGCAGCACCAGCAGTGGCTGCTATTGCCATTAGCATGCCCCAAACATGGCCCGAGTTCTGGCTCGCCCTATGATCTGTCCCTGTGCCACTCCAGGACTCTCTTCTTCCCAGGCCTTGCTCCTGCTTCCCTGAAAGGCACTATGGTTCCCTCACCATCAGTGGCATGGGGCGAGTGAGGGAAGGGAGAAGGGATGGCTCCTTTGCCAGTAGCTCAAGTGGTCAAAAGCATAACCCAGCCTCCCTCCTCCCAATGAACTTTCTCACATGGGCAGGCCAGCCTGATGTCCTGCGCCATCCCAGTTGCTGAGTGGGGACACCCCATCCTACTCTGCTCCTCCCTAGCACCTGTGTTGGAAGGGTGGTGCTATGGGGAGGGTGTCTTTTACCTTACAGGTACTAACCCCACAGCTGAGAATACATCAGCTCTGCTACTTCCCCTTCTTGGAAGAGCTCATATTGGCTGGGATTTGGGTAGGGCCATGCTCCATCTTGTTAGAGCCCTGGAACAGAGCGGGTCCAAAGGAGAACGGGGCTTAGCTGCAACAGATTTCTGCCATAGAAGGTGGCATCCTGCCAACAGCCGCAGCTGCCTTGGTGTAGCTACTGCTTCCTTCCTGCCCCCATGCAATTGCTACCCTTTGCCCCAAGCCTGTTCCTTCCTCCTTATAGCAGGAGCCCGTTCTATCTTCATTTTAAGATCCAACCAGCGTGAAGAAAGACCTTCCAACGGAAGAGCTCGCAGCGTTGTGTACCGATTTCACAAGTAGGTGACACGTATTCTGACACTGTTTTTTATATTTTCTTTTTCAGAAACGGATTGACCTTAAGCTGCCTGCTATGAAGGATCCGCGATTACATGCAAGATTTTAAATCCATGGGCCTGATACAAATCTCAGCAGCAGGGAATGGTGTAAAAGCACTGCCAAAATGAGACCTTCCAGTACAGCGCATCAATCAATGATCGAGAGCAAGAGAATTGGGCTCTCGGAGCAGTGCTATTTGCAGCCTAATCTAGAATCTTATGAGCTGGCCAGAGTAGGATGTCAGTGGGAGCTTCTAGCTCCTGTGACGTAGGATGCTCGTTTCCTCTCCAGGGGATAAACTTTCAGATTTCATCTTCATATACAGAGAACGGAACCAACTTTTGACTTGCAGAGAGCTGCCTTGACAAGCATAATTAGTTTTGGACATTGAATGTGTAAGCACATTTTTTGCATAAAAATGGACTATCATGGCACAATACATTTTTATCTTCATGGTTTTGTAATGTATTTGTTCTCTAAGTGTTAGCAGTGTTGCATATGTCCCTGACTTTTGGGTCCCTGGATCAGGCAATGGTGAACACCATCATGAGCGTTGAGTATGTGTGTCCGAAGGAGAGAAGAGAAGATCTGAGAAACCATATGCCAGTCTTAATTTCAAGAACAGGATGAATGCGGGGTGAGGGTAGCTATAGATTTCTTTTCTTGAGAATTAGATATTTTACATCCTCCAGTATCCAGTAGAGTCAGGAGCCAGCAAAGGTCAGGAGATGGAGTTGGATGTAATCTGTTCCCCTATTGGCTGAAGCAATTTTATTTCTGTTTGTCAGGTGATGGAATGTAACATGGCCCATTAGTCTCCAAGCCTCATGTTAATTACTGAGAACTAGCACTTAATTTTTCCATCGTGCCCTGTAATCCCTTTCATTGTTTCTCTAGAACAAATTGTTCGTCAGAGAACAGACAAAACATTGGGTTTCTGCTAATGTTTCAAGTTATCATTGTCTCTCTTAGGAAGGCAACCCATTTTACAGGCTGTAAGCTTACCTGTTAAACACTAGTTGAATTAGATTCCTTCTCTTATCCTGCTGTGCAATTGCTATTAACCTGTGCTCATTGGTCCAGGTCATGTTCCCTAGGCCTCCAACTGTAGACCTGTCTTTGTGAACTAGACAATAAATAAGTTGCAAAGTTACATGGTATATTAAGTGCTCATGTAATTATATACCCTTTTAATATGTATATGTGTACACTGTCTGGGGCTGTTACTGTTTTTAAAGCAGCCTCTTGATTCTTTTTGATTCTATTGTAGTTTTTCTTAATTTGGAAGGTGGTTTTCTTAGTGGGAGGAGATATTTATTAAAGGGATGAGTTGCAAGCTCAAAATGACCTGATCCAGTGGAAGTTTTACAGAGAGAGGCTGGTATTTTTAAATCTCTTCCAGCAGCTTGTCCAAAGGCAGTGTTTGATTAAGCCACCTTCTTGAGTAGCAGTCCCCTTCCCTCATGCCCTTAATTAGGTGGCCTTATTATTCAATAATGAAGGAGTAGCTCTCTCTAGTCGTAGCATCGCTTGGGACTGAAAGGGCTCCAGTGGGCACCTAAGTCTGTTTGTTCAGTCTGTGGCAATTTGGAGAACCATGCTGATAACAGCATTTCTTCTTAGGCAGACGACAGCTGTACAGGTCAGACAAAACCTTTGTTAGAGGCAACACTAGCCAGACCCTCAAAGATGTGATCTTAACATAGCCTGGAGCAGCTCAAGGGCCGAGACCCTATGTTCTTGCTCTGATGAGCTGAGATGGCTATTCCACAATGATTGTTGGAACCTCAGTTTACATAGTCCCTGCACCTGTCATCTTGTATACCCTGAAACATCTGGGAAAGGAGGGAAAAATCTAGAAATGTCTAGAACTGACAATTACTCTTGATTCTACTGCTGGGAGTCCAGTGACCTAAGAGTCTGGCTGTATGTATAGTGTTAACTAAAGAGAACAAATACACGTAAGTCATTTACTCTCTATATACATGCAGTATTTAAATAGGCACATATACTGTTCAAATACACATCTGATTCTTTACTGCATAAAATGTACATTGAAATGTTCACTGTACTGTGTGCTGCATAAATATGTTGGAAACCTACTTTGCCCCTTCAAGGTAACTCTTTTGGCATACACTTAAGAAGAGCCATCCCCAGGCCACATAAGGGAATGCTTGAGCAATTATCCCATGGGCTGGTCTCTCAAATCTTTCCATGCACTGGCTGATTTTTTTTGCAGCTGGATTTTAGTCAGCCCAGAAAACTAAAGGATGAGTCTAGAGAGCCAAGGGGATTTTGGCCTTGGTGTACCCAGAAACTCCAGCCTTGAAGCGTTAAAACTGCTCACTGCCTATTTGTGGATGGGGAAAGACAACAGGCTGTTTCATCTCTTTTCAGGAGAGGAATTTTCAAATACACATCCATGCAGCCTGACTTCCTTCAAGGTGGGCATTCTAGTGAATGGGATTGCATAGATCTGTGCATGGTGAAGGTGGGAGTAATAAAATGGAGCTGGGATAATGCTGCCAACCTAAACATCAAAAGAAAAATGGTTCCCCCCCCCCCCCCCCCCCCAGTTTTATTTTGTATTTCCAAAGGGGTTTGTTCTAAAGAAGGGGGAGCTTCTGTCAGCCCTAGCTTATCTAATACTTGATAAACAGTTTGAAATGAAGGAGGCAGAATACAAAGATTTTGGTGCAAGACCTTAGAAGTGTGTGTGCACCTGAAACTGAAGCAGTTGTGGACCAGCTCCTGGTCACTGTGAAGTGGTTTTGACAGTCCCATCTGCAGCACTTCTGCGTTGTGTGTTGCAGGAAATGCCACCACAATTTTGCACCTAGGCAGTATTTAACTTTTGTCAGCCTCTAAGCAGCAATCATTGTCACTTGGTCTGAATAAAAAGAGAGACTTGGGTAGAGTGGGGGTGGTGAAAGAGCATGTACTTAAGAGGAAATCTTTAACTTCTCCAACTCCATCAGCTGAAAGGGAACCTATGGACACTGGGCTGCACAGCTGTAAAAATCCTTTTGTCTACATGTTTGCTGCTGTTGCTTCCATCCTACTAACATTAGACTTCTGTAAACAAGCTGGCTTAAAATCAGAAACTTTGGGTGCTTAGTAACTTGCTGTCCAGATCAATATCCATTCAGATCTCTTTTTAAAGCAGCATAGGTTTTCCTGATTCCGGAAACAGAATGGATGTGCTAATTAGTAGGAGCAGACCTGCTTACATGGGGCTCTGATTTTTGGCTAGTACAAAAATGGACTTAAAAAAAAACACATTATACAATTTAATTAGACCAGGTTCCTCAGCTTAGTTTCTAGTTCCAGTTTCACAAGGGAGGCAATGGGATGGCAGTTCATGTAGAGAAAGAATTAACCTCTGCAGGGAGGTTTAATTAGCTGCCCTTTGCAGAACAGCAGTGCCAAACTCAGCTGGCTGCATTTGACAGTTACCTGCAGGCATCCAGCCTCACTGGTACTTGTATTAATCATTTTGCTATTTATTTGCAAATTGGGAATATACTCCCAGTGTTGTTGTCCCTTCCCTACTGACCACATGTCAAGGAGAGAATCTGGCCTATCATGTTGCTTTTTGAGGGCTAGTACATGCTGGGGATGGTTAAATCATGGAAAATAGGGAACAGGTGGTAAAATTAGGGCACACCACAGTGATGTGTCCATACAAACAGGAGGGGGAAGTCTGTATAGCTAATGCCTAATTTTCAAAGATATTGAAAATGCACAGCTCCATCAACTTCAGCTAGAACTGTGGGCACTCAGCAGCCCTGAAAATTCAGCTGAGTTCCAAATGTGGCACAGCAAGCTGGACTGTCTGTGCTTGCTCAGACTTGCTTTCCTACAGTAGTCTGCAGGGCACTTGCACCTGTTTCAGCTATTTAAAGCAGAATTGTCTCTCCCTTCTCCAGAAGCCCTTGTGTGTCAAACGTTTGCACAGTATGAGAATCAGTCAGGCACAGGGCAGCTGTGGTATGAAACTGAAATCAGGTTGGGTATCTAGTTTAATGGCCCATCTATGATCTCTGAGAGAGACAGGAGCGGGACTCCTGTTGCCCTAATCTCCAGCCCGGAACTCTGCATCCATTTTAATTTGTCAGTTGATACAAAACAAACATGTAAGCTTCAGTTGACACTGCCAGCATGGAAGGGGATTTAGTCACTGTCTTTGCAAGGCTAGTTCCTGCTGTGGCCTTAGGGGCAAGGAGCTCTGCCAGGAATTTCAGAGTAGTTCCACAAAAGCCCTTAGATGATGCGCGCGTTGCAGCAAGAGGGACAGTGAACACAAAAACCAACAGGAAAACAAATGAGCCAAACTCTTGTCCTTCATTTCAGTACAGAACACACCACTCCACTTGGCCACACATTTGAAGGCTGGCCTTAAGCAACTCTCTCCTGGCCTGGTAGCTGTATTTCTTGTAGCCTGTTCAGTGGGGCTAGTGAAGAGAGTTGAGGTAAAAATCTTGCTAAAGTTGCACTTTTGGCTCAGCCATCACCCAATTATTTTTGTTGGGAGTTTTTCACCCCACATAGGCAGCACAGCAAGGCTGCCTGGGGGAACACAGTGCTTATCAACAGATTTTTTAAAAGAAAGCATCTTGGGATTCCATGTGGATTTATCCAAAGGAATCTAGAATTGGAGCTGCAATGGGACCTTTCATATATTGGGATTCCATGTGGATTTATCCAAAGGAAACTAGAATGGGTGGCCATGGGGCAAGGAACAGCAAAAATGACTCATTGTATGGAGGGAGAGGGAACTCATTTGGATTTTTTTTTTTAAAGAATTAAATTAGGGGGGGCTAACATGGCATCTGTGTGAAAAAGTTTTTACTTTTAAAGAGAAAAACAAAGCTGGCTGTGATTGTGGCCTATAGTTATTGCTAGTGCTAGGGCTACTCATCCCAGCGATAGACTTTTTTACATGCTCTTATTCTGAGGGTAAGAGCTCCCTGTAGCAACAATGCCACTTCTGAGAAGTGAACCACAAGTTTCCCTTACTTTTGTATGTGTCAATTGTGTGGAAGGTGGGTGGAGGGGAGCTGGCTTATATAGCTTGGTGGAAAGAAATGAAACCCCTTCAGTTGTTCCTAAATAAAGAAAATAAAATATGAATAGGAGCGGCTCGGTGCTGTCTGTATCAGTTTCAACTATGGGATTAAAGGGTCAGGCATGGTGCCGAGGGCGTTGCCAGAGCTGCTGCACAGCAGCGTTGCGCTACAACTCTCTCAAAGCCGGGGGTTCAGTGCTGCCCAGCGAGGGCCTGAAGCAGGAAGCACATTTCTCAAAGGTAACTGGAGTCCAAGCAGATTTGGCTGTGCCAGCCCATCCCTGGGCAAGGTCATCTCACGCCTCTTCATCTCCCACCTTTAAATCAGTAAAATACTCCACTCAGCTATAAAAGCAGCTAGCACTTCCGGTTTGCTGCCCCGTTGTGTCAGATGGCTAAATGTGACTCAGCATCCAGGGAGTACGTGAGGGGGCAGCCTGGAAGGCAGCAGAGGTGGTGGGGGGACTGGGTATTCAGACCAATTAGGATCACCCTTGTTAGCCTCCTCCCCACTAACAGCATTCTGCCTGGCTGCCTTCCGAACACGCAGGCTGTTACAGTAGCGTAGGCCAGCGCTATCCATCAGGGCTGCTGTGGAAGAGGTATTCAATTGGCCAGATTTTGTACATCCGGCTCCTAATTCTGTTCTACCCCTTTTAAAAAACAAGCACTGAGACAATAGGGTCTGCACGGGCTTCTGTGCGGTCACCCCCCCCACACTGAGCCTGGCTACGCCTGGGAGCACAATTTGCCCAGCAGAGCACAAAGACACACAGGCAGCCCCTGACACCCAGCAGCAATGCTGCTCGACTCCCCACACCTAGACTTAAAGGCAAGTGATGGCTCCTAGGGAGCATGGGAGGGTCTGAAATGCTCAAGGGCTGTCTGGGCTCCCTACATCATTGGTCCGCATTGTGCAGTCTTCCATCCCTCAAGCAGCCTGGCCCAGGCTCCTCAAGATCCACATTCCTCTGCAGCCTTCCTAGGTGTCTAGCTCTCTTCTCCCTGCCTGGTTACTGCTGTTTCAGCTGGTTGTCAGCACACGTGCTCCTTGTTACAAGAGCCTATTAAAACGGTTCCAGTGCATAATTACCATGAGCATCGCTGTTTCTCCCAACTCAGCCTCTGCTGCATGAAACACAATAAGGAAAGTTGGAGGCTTTTATTAGGCATTTGGGGCTTCAGGTGGTAGCTCTGCTAACAAACCGCGAGCTGAACACAAGCCTCAGGCTGACGCCATTCAAGAGCAAACAACTCAATATAGTGCACTTCACTGTAGCATACACCCTGCTGTCAGCCGGCATTCACCTTCCCCCCGTTATAAATACTGCCCCTTTGGAATAACCCAGCTTTCAGACACTAGATGCATGTACAAGTCAGCTCTTTATTACGCACTGCCCCTTTGGAATAACCCAGCTTTCAGACACTAGATAAAGTCAGCTCTTTATCACGTGTCCTGCTGCAGCTCTGCTCGCAAAAAGACACATTCACTCTGCAGAGCATGGAACCCCTGAGCCAGAATTGTTCCTCCTCTCCCTCTACAACTGTACAGTTTAAGCCTAGTTTATTGTTATCTTCCCTCTACTCCACGTTAAACCTCCAAAATGAGGGTGGCAGCAACTAGTCTTAATCTCAGCTGGAGAAGCCACCAGTCAAAGCAAAATCTGAAAGTGCCAGCTCCTAACCTAAGCCACAGCTACTCAATTCAGCAGCTGGGCGTCAGCGCTGCCAGAAACCACCAGGCTGGTGGCTGCATGCCAAGTAGGAGCTGCACCTGCTTCCAGCGGAGCTGACTTTGGCTCAGTATCTTGTGTCACTTCTCTGGTGAGCCTCAGCTTTCGCCACATCATCTTGCTGCACACACGGTGAGGTCGTGAGGGTTCCACAGTGCACATCCCCTCACTGAGGTGCAGCTTGGGAAACGGAGAGCAGGAACCCACAGTCCTTCAGGCCTCTTGCCTGAATGGCTCTCAAAAGTGACACAAAGGCGGAGAGAGAGCACGCTCCAGGATCTGTCTGAAGGGGTAAGAGAGACTGCACACAAACCACAGCTAGCTGCTGGTGTAAAACGCACTCAAGCGTGGCCCGCTGGCCTCCAGGGAACAAAGTGATCTGCTGCAGCAGAGCTCGAATGCGGCAAACCTCGAGAAAGGGGAGACGTTACACACTTAACACTGACTTTTTTATTGTAACTGAAAACAAGAGGGGCCTTGTAAACTTTGAGTTTCACTTCTGGACCCAGAGGCCGAGGCTATACAGGTACTTTGATACAACAACAATAGGACTGAGGTGCATCCTGCCCAGTTCTTAGAAAGTACCTCCCTGTGGGAGCACAAAGGAGGGAGATGATGCAGGCACTCAGGACGGGTGGTGGGAAACATTTACATCGAGTTAATGCTGTAAAAAGCTTCCGTACCAGCTTCTGAGCAGTGCTGGGGTCTAGATTTCTCAGGATATAGGCTCAAAGGGGGTTGTTTGACTATAGACACAGTTATGGTCCAGCCTTATATAGCTGACAGTCTGTGCACATCAATACACTTGATTACGGGCTTGGTGTAGTAGACGGTAGTTGGGTGGTGTTTTGTTTTGTTTTTGTCATTTCTCCATTCAAACACACACCAGTGGAGAAACTGGAAAAAGCTGCCTGAAAGTAGGCCAAAGCAGTGACGTTTCCATAGAAACCAGTTCACAGCGTTCCGTGATAATCACAAGCACTGGAGGTGCTTTTCAGCAGGGGAAGTTGGTCTAGAGCCGGTTGTCCCCGTTCACCCTGGTCCTGCGCAGTACCCTGCAGGGAAGAGAGGAAAGGAGATTGAGATGAAGGCGGCCACAGCGACTTTAACGAGCACGCTACTTAGCAATCCCAATGTCACATGGTTCCAGCCTGAGGCTGCTAAGCCCTTATCTGTTCCTCTCAGGCCTATTAGAGCTGCCTGAAACCCGTGGATCTGGGTTTGAGAGACATCCGATGTTTGAACAGTAGGCTCTGCCATCGGACGACACCTAGTTTGCTGAAGTTTCTTGGCAATTAGAAAATTCTGTTTCAGAAACCAAAATCGTCACATTCCCAGATGAAGCTGATGTTCTTTTTAGTTTCATGGCTGCTAGTCAGCTAATGTCCATTTCATGGAGCTGCTGCTTGGGTTCCCAGGGTCTGTCGCGTTGGTGCAGTCCCATAACATGGACTGGTCAAGGACCTCAGTCAGGGCTTCCAGCCTCCTGGGCCAGGATGCCCAATGGACTCTCTCTCCCATGAGTGGGGCAGCCCTAAGAGCCAAATGAATCGGGAAGCCCTTAGGTGTCTGGCCCCAGTGCAGTGAGTGTGGCTGGGCTTCCCCAAACCCTGGAAGCCAGGCCCCAAAATTCCTGGCTTCCAGGTTTCCATAAAGGAGCCTCAGCTTAAGCACTTTCAGGTTCTCAGCTCCCACCCAGGGGCTGGGCAGAGCTGGAGCACCAGACCCTCCTTACTATGTGATTGAGAGACGCGTCTCACCTGCAGGCCCAGACTCCACAGATGAACCTCACTTGTCTACCCTTCAGTACACAGAAAACATGGAGGACGGGAGCATGGCAGGGACCCAAGGCACCAGTGTGGACGGAGAAGTCGCACTGTACACGGGGAGTGTGCGGAAACAGCCCTGACACAGGGCTTCCGTAACAGGCTCCCGCTCCTGTGCCCAGTGCCACTCCAGGAATAGGAGGGTATCCCCTGCCTTCGCTCTGCCACTAACCCAAACCCTTCACTGATTCACGCTCTCCCGGGGTTGTCAAGATCAGAGCCTTACAGTGTCACAAGCTGCTGAACAGGCCCAGGCAAGGGCTCAGGTCTGTCACACACAGAGCTGCCAGATGGAGGAAATGCGCCTCTTCTAGCCACAGCAATGAGTTGCCACAGACAGGGGAGAGGGGCCCCTCCCCCAGCCCCAGCATAGACCTGCCACGATGGGGAGAGGTGCCCCTCCCTCAGCCCAACCTAGCCCCACTGGAACTGGCATGGCACCTCTCACCAGGCCTGCAGCTGCTGCTATGAAAGGGATGGGGGGAGCCCTCTCCTGGGGGAGCCTGTAGCTGGGAGCCCTCATCCCCAGCCCCACCCCAGAGTCCACACCACCCTCACTCCCCCTGCACCTCAGCCATCTGTGCCAGTCTGAGCCCCACCCATACCGCAAACCTCCCATCCCCATCTGCACCCCAGCCAGAGTCCTCAGCTCCCCCTGCACCCCAACTCTGAGCCCTCTCCCACATTCTGAACCTCGCAGCCCCACCCCGCTACAGATCGTCCATAGGTACAATGTATTTTGTTATGTGCATCAATATGCATCTGGTGTGTGACACAGCCCCTCCGTATTGGGGCGCACAACAAAATTCATTCCACACACGGACAAACAATTAGAGGGAACACTGGCCACAAGGAAACAATAAGGAAAATACACTAGGCAATAGACACTGTGCTGATTAAAATCAAGGGCAGCTTGGATGCCGGCCATGCTTGATTTGCATCACAGGAACTCAAGGTACAGAGAACAAGTCCCAGTGCAAAACTCCACTGTGTTACCTTCGCTCTCTGATGTCAAAATGGTCTGCTAGCTGCTCCTGCGACACCCGGAAATCCTCAAATGGCTGCTGGTAGCGGGCGTCGAAGGACCCTTCCCGGGCTCGGTTTGTCAGGAGCTGACCTGAAGGGTCTCCTGTCCGTTCTCGGAGGGCTGAGGCGCCGAAGAGGTTAATTTCTCCGTTTTCCTGCTTGAATCAGAAAGAAGGGGAAGTGATTTGTAAAGCACAGCCCTGGGACTGCACATTCTCTACCAGGCTAACAGGGCTGCAAGGAACCAGAACTGTGTGGAGTTCTGCAAACAGAAAGGTGGTGTGAACAAGTTAGATGTGCAAATGCACAAGCAATTGTGTGCTGATGCTCTCTAGACCTCTGCCCTGGTTTTAACAGACACCGCTGGCTTTAGGGCAAGCCTTTGCTTTTTAAGAGCCCTTCTGCTGGACAGAGAATTACCAATCCTTCAGGCAAAAGTTGTTCATGGACCAGCCCAACTGAGATGAGATATCAGCCCCTCCCCTCAGCCCTCCCCCAGAGGGAATTCGTTTAGAAACCAGTGTCTCCGGGGCCTGAAAGCTAGATTTATACCTGGTCAGATGGGAGGTTTGGAGTAACGATCCAGTGAAGACACAGGCAGGGGAGTTCAAGCTTCATCTCCAGAGCTTTGCTCACCTCTGCCTCACCCCACTGGGCGAAATGCGCCTCGGGCCAGCGAGCCCTGCCTTGTGCCATGCTGGTCTCCTGAGCAGGGCCTGCCAGTTCTTCCCGGCGGGGTGGTTTGTTGTGAGAGACAAGGGGGCTGCTCTGAGCTAAAGCATGACACATTCCAGTGTTTAGGACAGAGGAGGCCTTTCAAAATCCTGCTTGTGCCACAGTGAACGTGGGGGAGAAAGCAGTGGGGGTCTTTAACCATCGCCAATGGGCTGGGGCCTCCTCCGTAAGACCCAGAAGAGAGCACCTTCTGCATGCTGTGCTCTGGAGCACCAGGTCCATGCCGACTCTCGGTGGGCAGGGCCACCCCGCTTCCTGGAGCAGCGAGCTGCTCAACAGCGTCTTCGTCCCAACAGGCAGATCGGATGAGATGGGGAGCCCAGGTTGTACAATTGCAGATGCAAAGTAAGATTAGGAAGGGGGTGAGGAAACCATGAATTACAGTCTCACCAGGGTGTGTCTACACTGCAGGCGAGAGCAGCTTGCGCAGACACCCCCAAGCTAGCTTTGCGCTAGCTAGCCCAGGAGAGAGCCGTGAAGAGGTGGCAGCATAGACTGGCTGCTGGAGTCCAGGCTGGTCTTGCACACCTGTTCTGCTACTGTTATGCCAGCTGGACAGACTCCTGGTGCTGCGGTCACAGCTCTCATTGCACTGCAGACGTATCCCTAGCCATCCAGGGAACTCAAAGCCCTCTGCACCAGCCAAGCCTTGGTTTCTAAGCCCATCAGTGCATCTGCTCTCCTGTGCCGCCCAGTAGGACAAAATGCAAGAGGACCAGCCTTACCTTGCCAGGGAAGATCTCTATTTTAACAAGCAGGGAGGCTAACTCCAGGTTCTCACTGTAGTTGTTCTTCAACGGCACAGCTCTGTACCCTGAGACAAAGAGAGCACGACCGTTACTGAAGGAAACCCAGGGAAGGGCTGGCTAACGGGCCATGCACAGCACGAGCAGTGCTGCATGCACATGGCCGCTCGCTACAGTGCACGCACCTGCGTGCTCTAATCAGCACAAAGCAGAAGGGGGGATTTCTTGCAACCCACTCTATCGGTGCCCACTTAATTGTTGGTTTGGGGGTGTTAAAGAAGCTTGTGTATAGACTTTGTGCTGGGCTCTCACTATAGGAGCTGAAACTCATTGATTTTAGGGATGGAAGGGACTGTTCTGACTTACTAGTATTTCCTGCATCAAGCCTGTAACTTCTGAGAAAGGCATCCTGCCCGGATTTAAAGCTTGCAGGGGATGGAGACTCTACTGTGTTTCTACCGACTCTGTTCCAATGAGCATTTTCCCCAAAGTCAATTACCCACTAGAGATGTTAACGGTTAACCGGTGGGGGCTCATCTGCAGTGGGCCCAGACCAGACGTGCCAGGGGCAGGAGCACTCCAACCCAGCAAGAGCAGCCTCCGTCTGCTCAAGCTTGTCCCCGTTTAATCGGTTAACTTCATGTTTAACAGTCTGACTAATTAAATGGGATTTTACATCCCTATTATCTGCGTTATTGCTAGTCTGAACACACCTGGCCGGAGCTTCCTGCCAGGAGATCTCAGCAGGCTTTTGCCCCGCTGGGTTCTAAAGCTCTTTCGCATTTCAACCTCTGTGAGCATGGCCAAGGCAATGATGGTTGCTTGCTGCACAAAGACCAAATGCTCCGCAGGGATGCACTCCTCTCCCTTCCTCCGCGCCCTCCCGAACCCAGGAACTGTCAGAGCAGCTGAGTGTTTGAAGGAAAACAGATACAGCTGCAAAGGGAGTGGGACACCAGCAGCGCCCTGCAGACAGTATGCGTGGCTCTGCGGTTAGGATGCAAGGACAGCAAAGCTCAGTCTGCTGAGCAACCCACTAACAGCAGAGTCCTAATGGTGGCCCACGCAGGAGGCTTTGGATGCAGGTGATGAACCCAGACGCCAGCCCCAGAAGGTGAGGAGGGGGCTTAGGAACAGGCAGCAGAGAAAAGGTGATGTAAGCACTTGGGATGTGAATGGTTAACCAGTAAGACTCACCCAGTGATGAGCTGGAGCAGCCCCACATCTGCCTGCAGGAAGGGGGCTACTCCAGCCCTGTGGGACCCACCTAGGGTGGGGGCACTCCAGCTCACCTGGAGCAACAGTGGGTCTGGCCCGACACCCGCTGCAAGCAGGATGCTCCGCAGCCCCATCTGTGGCGGGTACGGCCCAGTGTGCGATGGGCAGGGGTGTCGTGGGCAGGAGCACTCTAGCCTAGTTGGAGTAGCCCGCGTCTGCGGCAGGTCTGGCCTGGCTGGAGCAGCCCTCAGCCACTGCAAAGTGGGGATGCTCCAGCCCCCCTCTTTTCCCCTCGTTTAATTGGTTAATCAGTTAAACATACTATTTAACTCGTTAACTGATTAACCAGGATTTTACATCCCTGGTGAGCACTGTTCACTGTCATGCTGCTGACCCCTGGCCCCGAGAGAGTAGGTCCTCCTGCCACAAAGTCTGAGACACAGAGGGAAGGGCATGCACATGCCTGCAGCTGGACAGCTTTACCTGTCTTCAGGCCTTTCACCGGGAACGTAGCCTGTGCCAAGAAGTTCTCATCACTGAACATGTCCTCCTCATACACCACAAAGCGCAGGAAGGCGAAGTCGGGGTTGCAGATCTGGAAACTGAAGAGCTTCTGGGGCCAGAAGGGGTTCAGACCATTGTCCGCTGTGTAAAACCACAATCAACCAATCAAAACCCAGCCCCAGCATTAACTTTGCTGCAGTACGGTGCTTTCCCACGGCTTCTCCCTGTTCAATTTCACAGACAAATATACTTGAAGTTTGGCTTATTTAGTGCATGGAGTGAAAGCTGGAAACTGCTCCCTTCCAGAAGGCTTGTTTCCTTTGGCACATACAGATCCAACAATTATTGCCCATGAATTCTGGGCTCTGAGTGCTCCAATTGTACACACCTAGCCTAACAGGGTGCTGGCCCAGAACTGAGATTTCTAGGTGCTACCACACTACAGCTTCCCTCTCTGGCTTTCCTGGCAGCTAAGCCTCCCTGTGTCCTCAGGACATAAAAACAAAATGTAAGAAATAACAACCAGCGTCACCTTTGCTTGTGGAGAAAGAAAGTACTTACTCAAAAGAAAGTAGCTAGCAGCAGATGAGAAGCGCTCCAAGCTATTTACGAGCATTCAGTAATCAGATTGCACAGCCAACCTTGGTTTGGCAGCTCAGCATTAGAAACCTCAGAGAGGGAAACGGAGGCACGGGCAGTTCAAGCAATTTGAACATAAGAATATAAGAATGGCCATACTGGGTCAGACCAAAGGTCCATCTAGCCCAGTATCCTGTCTGCCTTTGAGGCCCCGTTTTATGCCTCAAGACCATGGCCCAACAGGGAGTGAACCCAGGATATAGTGGACAGACAATCACCCACTATAACTGTTAATCATTCCCCCAAACCTTCAACAATATGGCATTTCAAATAAACAGCAAATCATTAAAAGAGTCTCTGAGCTGCTCAGCACGCTCTGACGCAAGGAAGAATTTGTGTAAGGAGAACAAGGCCTCCAAAGTGGCATGGTTACACTGTTTAACGGGACACCGGGAACTGAAATTCTTAATGTCGGCCCCTTTGCCAAAAGATCAATTTCCCGACAGGGTCTCCCTCCCCTAAAATAGCAAGTACCAGAATTAAAAGGTATCATTCCAAGGGAGCACAGAGAAGGGTTTCTGCTCTCCTGATGGAGGTTTCTTTGGATCTTTTCAGCAAGAGAGTAGTGGTGAATTTCACCCAAGTTCTCTATGAAGGGGAAAACCAAGAAAATATCTATCCCCGAAGTGCTGTCCAATACACAGAGGAAACACAGTGAACAACAGAGAGAGTGTGCGTGGGGGGCAGGGGTTGCTAGCTTCTTTCATTTACAGTCTTGGTCTCTAGAGGAACATTTGCAGGTGGAAATGTGCTTCTCACGTTGATATGTCCCCCCTTAGAGTTCACACCATGAGTAACGGAACAGTCTCTGCTTTGCGTAGCGAAGCTCTGAGCTAGGCGCAGGATGTGCAACACTGCTCACCACATCAAATAGCGCCCACAACACATTCAGGACTAATGTTTAGCATGAGGCTTCCCAAACCTCTTTCTGGCCCCAGGACTGCAGGTTCAAGGATGAGAGCTGCAGTTAATTGTGTCTGGGGGAAAAAGACTCTGACCTTCTCCTCACTAGGAAAAAAGGTGTGCTTTTAAAATG